TGCGAGAGTGCGTGTGGAATGCGACCGCGATGCGCGCGTCATAGTATCGGCACTTATTTCCGCGAAAAAGCGCGCCTCGACTTCTTATTTCCTCTCCCGTCTCTTTCCGACGTGTTTTCCTTCTCTGTGACCTCTCGCATTCCGTTCATGTCGGCATCCCCGGATCTGTGACTGATTATCCGACATCAATAATCCACTCTCCCTCCGCAACGGTCTGTGTACCGCACCGCCCCCAACGCCGCCTAAAAGACCCTCCAAGTTCGGTGCTCCAGCCCTCAAGAAACCGTCCTCTCCGGAGTGCCCCCGGGGTGCGACGTGCCGTTCGATATTCGTCTAGCGCGCATCTGAAGCGCCGCATCGCGACGGGACAAGCGGCAGTGCCTCAGGGTCACAGGACGTTCCGCCAGGACACGACCCGCTGGACTTCTTCCTTGTGTGGTATTGTCCATATTATCTGTTTTGGTTGTTTTGTTGTACTTCGTATTTCACCTTCCTGCTGTGGAATCTTGTTTCGCTAGTAACCCTAGTGATCTGCCGTATGTTTAAGCCCTTGTGTAGTTGTTTCTTTGTGTGTGTATGCTTTGTTTTACCTCATTAGTATTTTGTTATTAAACGTGTTCAGTCGTGTCCTCCATATCCCCTCCTCAGCCCACGCCTTGTGGGATAGCGGACGTCCGAAACGCCCCGTTGCGACCCGCGCTACCAGCGCCGGGTCGTGACACTCCGTCCCACTTTACGATCATGTGGACCGCAGCTAGCGTGCACCGCAGCGGAACCTACGGACCAACCCAGCCAATCCAGCGTTGCGAGCGTGTCACGTGACTGGGCGCCCCGCCCATCGCTGTGCCTCTCCTCTAGGTCACCTGAAACTCGCACGGCCACTGGCTCTGGGGGCGCGAAGAGTTCGTTAAGGTTATGTTGCAAATCGTTAAAAATTTAACAGAAAAAAAAAAATTGAAAGCGTGCAAAACTTCAAAAAAATACAATAAAATGCGTCTTATATTTCACGTACCTTCAAATTACGTTTGCCTTTGTATTTGAAAGTTCTCGCGATTCGGCAACACGGTGCTTTGGATCCATTGGAAGAGGAGAACGGAGCCCTGTCCCGAGAAACGGGGTATTTTTTGGGTTTGTATCCAAATGACACCGCCCGATAATAAATATAACAAAGCGGTTTAATGACCAGTCAAGGAATTCCTGGCTGCAGTATAAGTATACTGTAAAGTAGCCTGGGGGGAAGGGGGAGGGGGGGGGGGGGATGCCATAAAGCCATCGGACGTTCAGAAGTGCATAAAAAGTGTTATCCGAGTTATCGAAAGCATCTCCGAGGAATATCGCAAATTCCCTAAAAGCCCTGCGAAACTAAATATAAAGAAGCAATCTTGAAATAGCAGAGAAGTCATCAAAGAGGTTTTCACTTATAAATGCGTCGACGCTCTCTATAAAAGGAACCTATTGAGAAACAACTGGAAGTATGCGGAAACCACAGACGATGGAAGTTGCTGAAAGTTGTACAGCTGTGGAAACCCTTTTACAATAAATACTGGCAAACCCCTATAAAACAAATTACCAGAAAACACACACAAAAAAAAAAAAAAGAAAACACGTGTATTGTTATAAAACTCGGCAATCTCCAAATCAACGTTATATAATCTTAGCAAGTTAACGGCATCGCTAGCTTCAGCTGGTATACGTTTCCACTGTCCGTATAGCCTTTGTAAACAATGTCGACTATTAATTCGATGGAAGTCCGACCATTAACCATAAATAGCGGACGATTCGATGCCAAATGGAGCAATAGGATTCGATTCGACTGCCACTAGCAAAATCAAAATACCAGCTTTTTTTTAAAGTTTACACAACTATGTAATAATGTCATATGACACCTGAGACTGTGCATGGAGGAAGAAATTGGAAAGTTTTTAGTAGAAGGAACGGACACAGATAGGGACCTCTAAAAGTAAGCTAACTGGTTTATTTGAGACGTCCCTTTCTGTGTCTGTTCCTTCTACTAAAAAGTTTCAAATTTCTTCCACCACAGCCTCAGGTGTTATATGACATAATTAGCTATCACCAGCTCCCCTGCATACTCACTGTCTTTTCACAAATATGTAATTTCGTTCGTACCATGACCCCGGCCGCAGGGTCAGTGACCTCGTGGCTCGCTAATCCCACGGTCCTACGTCCTAAAGGTTCGTGGACACGCAAGGAAGGCCGTCACACCGCCATGCATCCGTGTAATCACTATACCGCTAATACTTCGTACAAACGACATACTGCCGATTAGTCTCCGAGGCGTGTTGCTTCCATGTACGAGCCTCCTGTCGCGTAGGTCGTATAGGGAGTATTCACTGGACGCCATATTTGTGGGTGCTGTTTAGAGCGCATGCTCAGAACGAGCTCACATCAATAGGCTGCTAAGACCGGCACTTTTGATGGTGCGGAATGCACGTTGCAAAAGAACTGTGGAAGCTCGCCACCAGCACGCGCTCAGCATTCGCGCACACAGCTATGGCCGCCCAGTGAATACTCCCTATACGAAAAAAAACGTCGTCAGACATGGTCGATGCGTCTGCGAAGCGCAAAATCGTCTGTTTTTTTTTTTTTTTTTTGCAGGGTTTGTGGTGACGTGAGAGAGACGCCGAGTTCTGATTGGAAGGATAGTGGGTAGGCCTCAAAGCAAGCTGCCTCGAGGTCTACCCGCTATCCTTCAATCAGAGCCGACCAGAGCTCAGCGTTCTGACGTCACTCCATGCAAGTGAAGCACACAAACTTGCGGAACATTGGAACGTTCTTTGTAACAAAGACAAAACGGATACAGCGCCTGTCCTATCATACTCGTTTGTCCTTATAGTCTCATTTGCGCTATATCATTTGTACCATTCACAAACTTTTCATCGTTGGACATGTCCTCTGCCAGGAGGAGTTCGCTCGTTTTCAATATCCACGTACGCGCATAATGAGCAAAGTTCAAGTGAACTTTACTCGAAACTTCGAGCGAAAAAAAAAAAAAAGAAGAAGAAAAACGTCACGCGGGTGCGGGTTTGACGAGTTTAGAGGGCCCGTGATGAACTTGCGAGTAAAAAGAACCCGAGATGACATGAACGTAAGGGCACAAGTGAGCTGGTGTACATCAAACATTTTAGTGAAAAACCCGAGACTGAGGTATTGACAGACGACGACAAGTCGTCTGTCAATACCTCAGTCTCGGGTTTTTCACCTTATAAAATGCGAGATGACCTTAAAAAATTCGCGCACCGCGGCGCAATTTTTTTTTCTAAGGTTGAAAGTACATGAATGGATAATTATAAGAAATAAGTGGGAAAGAGGAGTTTAAAAAAGTTGAGTGCGTTTACTGAGCTAGAAAAGTTCACGCTGACCAGAAAAATTTCCCTCAACATGAGGTGAAACTGCGAACGTGGGGCGCGCGTTCGGGGTTAGGGTCAAAACTCCCATAGAGCCGAGTCTCGAGTTTTTACCGTTCACTCCTTCGTGGCCGGGGCCGCTAATGCAATAAAAAAAAATTAAGTGCATCTTGAATGTCGCCGTGACGACAACGTTCACGTGCGTTGCCCGTTCAGTTACGAAGAGTCACGAATTTCAACCCTATAGCGTGCTGAAATGAAATACCCGAACACATCCTTGCCTAGAAATTGTGGTTGGAGGGTATTTACCCCGCTAAGAAAATATTTGCGGCTAGTGGTTGTTCACAGAGAGCTGTCAATCATCGCGCCCAAGGTCACCAAAACAAGCTCGGTCAGTGACGTGGCCTTATGTTCGCCCTATTCTTACCAATTAATGACCAAACTCTCTACACACATATGCAGCTCTGCAAGGTTCCAGACCCACACGGCGCATGCCCAGACACGTCACACGACTCCGGTTTCTGCGCGCGAGCAGTGCCCCCACCTGGTGCGGGCAAACGCTTACTTGTCTGTAAACAGCGTCTACAGTAGTATGAACAGTAGTACAGTAGTATGTTTTGCCTTATTGAGGGCAAGACAATGTTTTAATACCCACATATTGAAACTTGTATGTTTATCTACATTTCATACTCACTTAACATATTGTATTCAGGCCTGGGGATTCACTTATGATACTTACCTTCTGCCAATACTCGAACTACAAAAGCGAGCTGTTAGGATCTTAACGTACTCTTCCTACTCTCAACCATACCGTATACACTTCGATCAACTCTGCATCCTTTCATTTGAAGAAATTAAACGGTGCAAAATTGCTCGTGTAATCCGTAATATAGTAAAGTCAAACAATCCACTTCCAGCAAACATTTTAAATCGAGGCACACGACAAACAAGGGCAAACATATCCGGCCAGTTTAATCTGCCAACAGCTCATAAATATATATGGCGAGCGACTAATACAATTCTGCGGCATTAAAATCTGGGATAACTTACCATCGTCAGTCACACTCTCAAACAACTTTAATGCCTCATTAAAAGAGCACACATTTTTTTTTTTAAAAAAACGTTTCTATTTTCATTTTGAGTCTCAAACCCACACAATACAGATCTTTGTTAGCCTTGACTACCTTTCTTTCAACAATTATCATTACCTTAGTTACGTTGTTCGTGCGTCATAACAGATCATAGCATCTAAACCGGTCATTACTTGGTTTCCTTTTTATGGTCTTTCTAACAGCGACTGTTTTCATGCATTATTAAAAATGGGCCGAAACTAGCCAATGGCTATGGGCCCAGATGGGCCCAAACTACCCAATGGCTATGGGCCCAGATGGGCCGAACTAGCCAATGGCTGAGCCCAGATGGTTTCTTCGATAATCTGTACTTGTTACTAATAAAAAAATAAAACCAATCTTAATCAAAACACAGATACCAAGAATCTGACCCGATATTCGTCTGACCTCAAACCTCATTTCTTGGCTGCGTTGGCAGTCCCAAAGCGCGCCCTTAAAATAATAAATAAAAATAAATTATGAAACAAGTTTTTTGTAAAGAGAGCAGCGGGTGGTCCCTTCTTACCTGAGCGACACTCCCGAATTCCAGTCGGAAGTGAAGTTCGCGATGTTTAGGTCGGGCAGCACGGCCCTGAGCCAGGCGAGCATGAGCTTCTTGGGCGGGAAGTTGGTGCGACCGATCTGGTAGCGGAGGATGAGCGACCACACCAGGCCCAGGATGAGTTTCAGGTTGCCCTCCACGATGTCCGTGTTGCCTGCGAGAAAGACGCCCACACGCGCCACGATGAGTCGTCGCTTCGAAAAATAAATCAGTAAGGCACGCGCGAATATACAGTGGTTCGAGTCAACATGGCGCTGCGCCATTGGTATAGCCTTCAGAGTGCAAGGGAAAGGCAGCCTTAGGTTTCAGAGTGACGGTTGTCGCGTGACGTCCAGTGATACCGTTACGTCACATGACGCTGTGACGTTACTGGGACCATGATGTTATGTGACACTAAAGTCACGGCGTGCCGTGGGTCACGTCAGTCGTCACCGTAACGTCAGGTGACACAAAGACCAGACATCGTGACGTCACGGTCACGTGAACCCACGACGTCGCGGAGGATCTATAGATGCTACGCATTTAGAGTGCCACTGGTATAGACCGAAGAAGCAGATCGTCTATTTATCTAACGCCGGTCCAATGTAAGCTAAAGCCCCTTCATGTTTCAAAGGTAGCGCAAGGTTCGTCGATGCACGAGGCACGCGCAACGTGCAGCCCTTGGGAAGATCATGGCGGCACAGCGCAGCACTGGTACACTGTAGCACTGAGCTAGATTTTAGACGCCACGAATTTCCCAGAAGTGGCGCGGGGCACGTGCCTCGAGCATTTCTACAACAATGAATGGCGCCACTTTTCCCAGGATAGAGGGGCTTTAATGTAAGCTAGAGTTCCTGTATAGGATCCCTACGGGAGCCAGAGTTGCGCGTTCACCCCCGGAGCGCCGGCTTTCCTGCACGGCATGCGGAGTCTGCTCCTCACGTGACTGAATTCAACGAATAGCTCCTCACGTGATCGGATCTCGGCGAATAGCGGCGCGGCGGCACGTGGAAAACAGACGCGCAACTCAGGCCATCAGCGGCCTCTCGTGGACCCAACACTAAAACCACAAAGCACGTGCAGCGTTGGTCGCTCCCGAATTGCTGCAGCTCCTTTCTTGTTACTGACTACACGCCACACAAAGGCAGACAAGTTAGAATTCCCGGCACCCCCCGTACGTTTTCCTTCCTATTTTTATTTTTCCTTTCCATTTCATAAATTGACACTTCACCGAGGAGTACGTGACCCGGAGATAAATGAACGCAATTAACGGACGCACACAACGCGGTTACGCAACAGCATTTTGGTTATTTTCATTTTCTCCGGTCGAAGCAATTATACCGCGCAACCGAAGTAGAAGGCTACGCAGACGACCGTTAAGTGCGTGTCGACCGTTATACGCGCCCGTCGACGTGTAACCTTTTACCCCCATAAACATTTTTTTTTTTTTTTTTTTTTTTTGTCAAACAAAACATGTTTTATTAAAAAAAAGAAAGAAATCTCAAATAATAAAAAATGAAGGCAGGCGGCGTGCCGGGCGTAGTAAAGGCGTCAAGAACGTACGCGTGTTCTGCTACGTTTCACTTCTCGATGGAGCGCAACGGAGGCTACGAGCCATGCGAGCCAATCCAGCGCTGGGAACGCACACCGCGCGACTGAAGTACACGATCCGTGTGTCGCAGCGCCCCTCCCGAATGTCATGTGACACCCACACGACATAGGATTGGCTGGGATTGCTCGTATAGTGTCCCCTGCGGTTCATTGTAAGGTGACACGGCGCCCGAGGGGTGTTTCTATTTTCCTCCCACTATGGGTAGTGCACGTACCCACGCGAATATGTTTTAATTTTCATAGAGCATAGAATCTTGGCACTGCACGTGTTTGCACCAGAGGAGGAAGTTGAAGTGTATCTTCACTCTGGGTTGAGAAAAAAAAAATGCCACCAGGCGGCGATACCCGAGCTTCTCGCTGCGAATAATCACCAGCTTTTAGAATACGTCATGATTGACGTCAGTGCTTCGCTCAGCGCGGAGGATGGAGAGGTGGATGTAAAAGTCTCGCGCAGTGTGGGCGTTTCAGAGGAAATCGGAGACCCGTCCGATATATACAACGACCGACGCCAAAAGCGAAAAACAAAAACGAACAAAAAAAGCGGTACGGCCGAACAGTGCTCGGGTCGTCAACAAGCTTATTTTGTTACATCTATGCTACAACAAATTAATAATAATAAAAAAACGCGGTTTAGTTTGCCGGCAAAGAACCGTCCAGATTTAGAACTATGGGAGTTGGAGCCAGGCAAGGACGTCCGGGAGACGATCTTGTTCGGAGGTTCCAGCAATCGACTTTACGGTTGGGTGCCATCTTTGCCCAACGGGTCTAGAGAAGTCGTTCTCAGAGTACGCAGTAGCTCTCTTTCACGAAACATAGGACGCTGCGCGTACGTACAAGACCTAGTTACTCCGCATTTTTCACCTGGGTGATAAGCGCAGGAAAGTCTATAGACCATTCTAATTCTATAGACCAGTGTCTTCTCTGTTCCATGTGCGCCGCGTCATGTTTGCTTATGCTGACGCCATGACACAGTAGGGGAACTGCGCTTTTTGAGATTCTTTTTTTTTTTCTTTTTTTTTTTTGACAAATCTTCTTTATATTGTATTTAAAAAAACTACTGCATATTTTATTGAGAAATTTTGTGTATTGAGTGGTTACATCCTTGGAATTAATTTTCTGTTGCTTTCTTTTTTTACTAAAGCATTTTTTAATATATATATATTTAATAACGCACTCTAAAAAAATTTAAAAAAAAATAAAAACTTGAGTCTACTTGCCCACACAACAGTCGGAGAGTCAATCACCGCAACTTACGGAGGCAACTCAGCGAATGACGATGCCGAAACATATGTTTCGACCAAATATGTTGTTTTAGTTGCGACTGCGTGACGTTTTGCGTTGCTTAATGTCACAACTCAGACTGCGATTTTTGGTCGAAACATATGCTTCGGCATCGTCATTCGCTGAGCGGCTTCAGTAAGTTGCGGTGATTGGCTCTCCGAGTGTTGTGCGAAAAAATAGACGCACGGGCTTTTTTTCTTCTCTTTTTTAGAGTGCGGGTTGTCGAGTGTCCCTTGTCTGGAGTTTGTTTTATTCTTTCTGTTGCCGGGCAAAACTGAGTTCCAGTTTTTAATGTACGCACCTTTTTCTTAGCAAGAACAAAAAAAAAAGAATAGGATGCTCCTTTAAAGGGATACTTCAACGAATTTTGAAATATTCCCGTCGTGTTCAAAAATAGGTTGAATATGATCCACAATATCCGTAAATGACAATCGCACGTTTGTATTTTGAGCCTGGTGCCTGCATTTTTCGTTATAAACGGCCCACTCTGGCAAGCGCTCGGAGAAGGCCCAGCTTAGAGCACGTGACATCCAACGCAATCGTGACGTAGGTCGTCTCAAGACGAGCAAAGCTACGGCGAGGCTGACGTCGAGAGGATGGCCTAGTCGTTCCAGCCACCGAAGCGGCTGCTTTTGTACGAATTTTGAGTGACGGGTTAATCTTCTATAATCTTCTAGGGGGAAAATAGCGACTTCTGCGACACACAAAAGGGATTCTCGAAAAGAGGGGAGTTCCTCCTTCCCCCCTTCTCTCGTCGTGGCCGGAGACGAGACAACCTCCGTCACTAGCTGCCAAGGTTCCTAGACGAGCAGTACAAATGAGGCGTTAGCGACATCCACCAGGTGCTCTTTGCTAATCGTTTAATTCGTTTTAAAATTCCTTTTCGAGACTTTTTAAACAAGATATTGGTATGTTCCATGTGATACTGCTCTTTTGAACACATACAGACCAAACAATGAGCGCCGAAATTTCGTTGTAGTATCCCTTTAATTTGGCACGTATATTCCACATGTTACTGGCTTTAAACTGAACCTAAGAAAAATAAGTTTGAATATGTAGCATGCAAGAAAAAAAAATATTGTCCTTTCTTCTCATGAATCATAAGAGGGGAACTTTATTAATTTTTTAAACATTATAATATAGGGAAGTCTCAAAACTTTCAAGTTCGAACAGTTGCCAGGATATTTAACTATAAGCTGTAAAGGTTTCAGTGTAATGGGACAATTTTTTTTTTTTTTAGTAAAGGCACACCAAAGTTTTCAAAAGATGCAAAAATGTCATTTTGAGAAACACAGATTTTTATGTCTCCACACAAAGGCAAAAAAGGCCAGAAGGCGTGGATTTTGGCGCTTTATTTAAAGTGGCTCGGAGTGCTCATTCGCGCTCGCCGTTTCCTGGTTTTGTTCCTCAGACTGCATTTAAGTTGTCTTTAACACTAAAACTGCAAAATCGATTTGTTGATTGTTTTACCCTACCATCTCCCCCTCAAAACCTGCGTACTGTCACTTCAGTCCGTGTGCCGCAAAGGTGTCACAATTCCTCAAAAGCACGTAGCGCGTCTCTTATCTATAAACTTTAGTCCCGAATTCACCACACAGCAGCAAGAGACGTGACTTTCAGAAGTAGGAAGCTCGCGCCTGCCGAAATAGGCGGCGAAAACTTCCGCGGCCTGGCGGCGAAGACGTGAAAGAGAGGGACGGGGATTAAGCGCACAGCGTTGGGGTCGCGGATGAAGAAGGTAAAGAAACCTCGTTCCACGAAATGTGCCAGGTCACAAGGGAGACGTGCGTACACTGCGCGGCACTGTTGGTGCGACCATGGCATTGACACACTTTCGCATTTTACCACTTCGAAGGGCAGCTTGGCAGTAAAGTTACCCATTTAGGTTAGTTCTCGGAATGAGCACTTGTCAGGAACTATAGGGACACAAACTGAGAGAGAGAGAGAGAGAGAGAGAACGTGTGGGGACGTCAGGGCCTTAGCTCTGATTAGATAATATCGGTGGCTAGACGTTAAGGATAGCTGACTTTGCCTCTAGGAACTGTCTCCCTCCAATTAGAGCGAACAAGAGCGACGTCTGCTCCTCACACAGTGTCTCGCGTTCGAACGCCGGACGGTAGCGCTCGGTGTTCGAACAGTGAGTAAAGACAGCGGTAGCTACTCTTTTTGTGTACCCCCTAATCAGTCCAATCAGAGCTCGACGCCCTGAAGCACTCGCAAGCTCTCAACTTGTCCTATCCCTCGGTTTTCTACCCGTATATGGCGGTTTCTTGGCATTGAATC